GTGCTGCCGTCATTTAAATCAAGGGCAAAGAAGTAAGATGGTAGAACCAAACATTGGCCCAGCTAGTGATCCCTAAAGATTCGGGCCCAAACAAAATACCAGTTGTTTGTTGGTTGACCCAAACACCGACACATTCTGGGTGTACGGGGGCAGGGGGCAACTGTTTGTTTCACACAACTCAAAAGGGGGCAGTTGGGCAGTCACTGCCAAACCCATCAGGAACCCTACCAGTACCCAAAGACACGGGTCCAATCCCTTACCTCCACTTGCTCAAGCCCCCCGGAAAAACACTGTTCAAAAAAGAGAGGTTCCAGCTATGATATATGCCAACTACAAAACCAGCAGGGGAAGATATTAAGCAAATATCCTGAAACGCAAAAAGGAAGTTCAATTCGTCGACATTCCCCGCCAAGTCCCCCAAGTGGTCTACATATTTATATAGGGCAAACCTGAACAAATCTATGACCCAGGAAGCGTACCGGTGGGCCGGGAGCTTTGAGTCCGCTTTGAGGAGGTGGCCTTCAGAAAAGCCATCGGTTGATGGTCTCATGCCATGGTCTATGGGAACCCCTCTTGACTTCTTGTTTTTTGTTGCGCCCAAGATAGGTCGTGAGTCAAAAGCAGAGCAGCGCAGAAAACAAAGACAGATAATTCCACAAGGCAAGCATCTAATTTGCTGAACTTTGCCAGCCTTGATTGAAGTGACAAAGACAGTTCCCAACAAATCTACTTCATCAAGTGAAACGTTTGGAGGCACAAAGTCTAAAGTGTTCAAACTGGGCATGCAACTTAGATGTTCAACCAACTTTGTGAGCAGGTTACCCTGGTTGTATTCCAACCAACTAAGGGTACCTACTAAGTCGGTTGAACATCCAAAAGGAGGAATCACAGAAGTATCCTCTAAGGGGAGTCCGCATGCGAAGAACCATGACCGGCTTTTGCTGGTTGGTTCAATGGGACTCTCCCACCAAAGCAAAGCAAACAAACAAAAGGAAGGAAAACCAACACACAACTGGCTTTACTCCTTTTGACGCTCATCCCCAAATGACTTTCTGGTGCTCAGCAGTGAGAAGGGAATGAAATTGGAATGACCCCGAGAAAACCATCCCTTGTGGTTTCCCTTGAGGGCACCCCTGGGCTCATGCCGTCATTCCCTACCTATCGCACCAGCAAGAAGAAAGGAAGAAAGGGCGGCACCCGTGCAATGGAACCCGAGCTCGCTCGCTCGACGCGGGACAATGGCCCCGGGCCATAGTTTTGCTCATACCTCAGGCACGGCAACCTTCATATCGCAAGGGCGTCACTGCCTCTGTTTCCTCATCGGGGCCTGAAAATCCATCACTTGCCTCTGTGAGCAACTGTTCCCATTTGTTTGCCACATCAGCTTTTGCAGGGCGAACAATATGCTTTTAGACTGCGGTCCATACCTAGTAAGGCTTAAAACAGAGAGGGAGGCCGCTTTTTGGTTGGTGGGCGGAAACCAAAGAAACTGCAACCCCTTTGTTTGGGCCTTTGAGAAATCGCCCCTAGAATCATCCGAACACGAGATGTGTGGGGATGTCTTTTCAAAGGTTGTCCCCCCCCCCCAAATAAATATATATATATATATAATGGTACCCCCCCCCCGCCATGGACCCTGGTTTGGTGCGGTTGACCTGTATTTTCCAGTGTTTTATGCTTCTTTTGGCTTCTTGGATTTGTGTCAAAATTGGGGGGAGGGTCATACATGTATATGATACGCATGCATGCATACAAATGTAATAAAAGCAATGACATCAGCACCTGCAATCTGAAAGAGTTTGAATGCATCCAAGAATGCAAGAACAACTCAGACATTTTTTCTTATTGTATTTTTAAAATTATGGGATTCAAGATTCAAGATTCAAGAATATGAGAAAATATTTTCTGGGAATCTTGAATCTTGAATCTTGAATCCCAGAATTTTTAAAAGTTTTTAAACATTTCTGGATTCAAGACTCAAGATTCAAGAATCTGAGAAAATATTGTCTGGGAATCTTGAATCTTGAATCTTGAATCCCATAATTGTTAAAAAGTTTTAAACATTCCAGGGTTAATAAGATTCTCGGAACAGTTTTCCGTGAAATATTTCAATCCAGTGGTAACGGATGTTCGAGGTGATAGAACAACTTGAACATTTTAGGGGTTGACCAGGATGGATGATTCTCAGGATTATATTTGAGATGTAGTCTCTATTCACTTGATATTATCAAAAGCAAATTGGGTTGTGTTCGTCTTAGATTAAATTTACCGCTCGGATTATATTTGGAAAAAACTTCCATCTAACTTCTTGTGTTATACGGTCGGGCATTATGTTAAGAAATTTTATGAACTAAGAAATCCAGACCTCTGGAAAGCCGGGCATTTCTTAAATTAAGAAATCCAGACCCTCGCCGCCGAAAAATTGGATATGTTGCATATTGTCTAACTATGAAACTGCTGGTCGGAAACAGCCTGTGGAAATGGAATCTATAAGCCTTTGTCCATCCAGCCCCGTAAAAAAGAGCATCTGGGGCGGGACGTGGCGTAAGCGCACGCAACCCGCCCCAGACTTGTCCGCTTGCCAGCCGCCAAGAGGTCCGGCCAGCCACCTGCGACAATTGGCCCAGACCTCTTTCTGCGGATTCGGAAACTCTTGTGATCTCCCCAAACCCCTCGAATTCATTCGAATTCTCCATGATTAGGGACGGGTGGTCATTTTTAACAAGACTGGAATAAGGTTGTCTGGGACAATTATTCTCACCCAAGTGGACCGCAACAATTACCAAAACGAGCCCCGATGAGAAAAACATATCTGTGACAGGTGGGCCAATACTGATGGGCTGGCCTTCAAAACCAGCCAGCTCAGGAAAGCGACAGAAATCGAAACTGCAATTGCACAAGAAGCCCCCCCCCCCGATTGCAAAAATTAATGGGGGGATGGTCTTTCTGGGCCGAAGTCGCTCAGACCTCTGAGTATACATATCCATGCCGGTTTCAAACCCGTTTCAAGGCCCTGTCAGACGCTCCGGGAAAGGGGCTTGAAAGTTCAGAATTGGGGCCAGAGAGCTCAAGCACCCTCCCCTCCAACTCACGCCTCGCCCATTGGCGGGATGCTGTGCGAAGTGAAACTTGGCAGGCTTCAATCCCGCTTCAGAGCCCCTCTCAGACACCCCTGGCAAAGGTCTTGGTAGTTATACGGATTCCCTGGGTAACTATGAGACGTCACGGGTCAAAATAACAAAATCATGTTGCCCTTAGTGATCCGTTTGCTGGGCTGGGGCCGAAGTCTGAGGGACACATCCAGCTTTCGGGCGATCGAGCTTCACTCCCCCACCAACTACCAATGTCTACAATTCTTCGTTGAGGCCTTTCTGGGCCGAAGTCGCCCAGACCTTTGAATATACATTTCCATGCCGGCTTCAAACCCGTTTCAGACCCTTGCCAAACGCCCCGGGCAAGGGGCTTGAGAGTTCAGAATAAGGGCTAGAGAGCTCAAGACACCTCCCCTCCAACTCACGCCTCGCCCACAAAGATCGGCAGTTTCCAACCTCTGCAGGGAGCTTGCGCCGGGCTTCACGGAGTCATTCAACGTTGGGAGCTTTCACCGGGCTTCACAGTGTCATTCAACGCTCTGACGCAATCTGCCGCACCAAGACGTGCTTCGCGATTAGTTGCTCGCTGGAAACTGGCTGCAAGTGCGTGGCTGAACTCAATTCCCCCTAACACTTGCCGTGGCCCCTGATTTCTCAGAAGCTCATTCCACTGCCCAACAGGTTCCACACCGGCAAAGAGAAGAGCCCTCGTTCGATGAGTCTGAAACTGGCCTGAAACATGTCTGAAACATTCCCACCTAGGCCTCTGCCGGTCATGGCTCAGAACCCTTCTTTTTCGGAGCACTGCAACCTTCCTGAAACGGCCCAAGTGTGGATTTGGCAAGAGAAGCCTCAGATCAGCTGCTGACAGCCCTGCAAAGCCGAGCCGAAAGGAGTGCCTTATGAATATCAGGGATAGGACCCGACCACTTGAGACACGCCGTGTCGAAGCCTGTATTTGGGGCACCCCGCTGCCAATGTCGTCTGCCACGCTGTGGCCTGGGTGGGCGGGTGGGCAGCAGTTGCGCATCAGCTGCAAGCACCTCTGGCAGTCGGGGGAAGCCCTCCGCATTTCTGTCCCCCTCTCACTCCTCTTAAAACCGTCCACGAGGTTTCAGACTGCTGCCAGTGCGTCCATATATGGGAACTGATGTTAATTTGGGCCCACCCTGAAAATGCTTGAAGGCCTTCAACTCCGGCTCAGACATCAAGACGCTCAATCCTTTTTTAACGCTGGCCTATGCTGTCCAGGGCCATCTTCAGCCCCTTTCAACTCTACAAAACTCCTGCCCAGCTTGCCCTTCCACAGGCATCGTCATCACAATCAGGCACTCCTGCTGGCGCAGATTCGCCAATGAGATTGCTCTCCTCTCGCCCAATGCCTTCGTGTACCTGACGCGTTTCTCGTCCACGTCCTCCAAGCCCGTAAGGGCAATCGCAGCAGACACCAAAGCGTATGGTGAAATCTGCGGCGCTTTTAGGCCCTTCTCCTGGTACCTGCCAAGTACTGACAGCGCCCGAGCAACGATCTCGTGACCAGCTGCTGCTCCAAACAAGCCGACAAGCACCTGCAACTGGCCCTCCGTGCGATGAGCCAGTGACTCGTACGACGACGAAGGTGAGGGCGCCGTCGCTGGGGCGGGCGACGGTGAAGGCGAAGGGGCCATTGCTGCGTCTGGCGCCTGCTCGGACGGTAACTCAGCAGGCCCTGCATCTTCAACAGGCTGTAGCCTAAATGCGATCTCGCGCAGGGCCAAGTGAACTAGCTGCCAGGCTGTCTTGTAAGCTACTCCCCTGACGACTCCTGGGGCTCCAAGCTCACTCCTCCTCCATGTCAAGAATATCTCCCGATCTGAGAGGGTCACGTCTTCCAGCGCGCGGCCGTCTTTCTTCTGCAGCAGGCGAGCATAGGCCCGGTCCAGCTGCGCTGGCTTCTTAGTCAGCACCCGCCACTTGCAGCTCTTTTGGCGCGCAACCATGGCAGGCGGCGGCGTGCCAAGAAGCTATACGGGCTTGCGTCTAGCCGACAGCCTTGGGAAACACATGTATCTAGCTGGGCCGGCTCACGGCAACCTGGAGACTGAATGTCTTCATAGCCTGCTTGCAGCGGCCTTCTGTAATGAATGCTCTCTGTGGCTGCTACGCGCTACTTGATCGCATTCTGCTAATGGTCTGACACACAAGCTCGAAGCCCCTTGCTGCGGTGCCCCGTCTACAAATGGCTGGCTCCTTGGACCAACAGCCCCATGAATACGAACCCGGGCTAGGGGCCAAATTGAAAGAGAAGCCAAGGCTTTGGAAGCTTTAAGACAACAGAAATGAGCAAAAGCATCCCCGAACTCATCTAAATGTATTCCTCTAGAGGGCCCTCGGGCGATCACAAGCAGGCACAGCGAACGTCAAGCTCAGCAGGCCTGGCCAGGCCCACACGGGGTCCGACTCTGCGTGCGCCTGCCGGCACGGCGCGGTCAAGCTTCAAAAGCTGGTCACGGCAACCATCCCCCTGGAACGTGTCTCCGAAAGATCTTCCAAACCCGTCAAAGATGAAACCTCCCCTGAAGGGATGGAATTGCCCGAACACCACGGATTTGGCAAGGTTCAAACAGAAACAAGTAAGTCTGAAACACCCAAAACACCCACTCTGAAACAAGTCTGAAACAGGTCTGAATCACACCGACCAGGTCTCTTAAACACAACAGGCCTATCCTGGATAATCCCCAACCCTTTTCCTCCCAGCTGTTTGTCCAAGAAACCTGGCTTGCCCTAGACTCAAGAATCCAGTGCCTGGGCGGAACCTCCCCAAAACTATCGAAAACTCAAGGTTCCGCCCGGTCATTGTCGGGCCACAGATGCAAGGCTGGCGAACAAGGGAACTGTCTGGAACAATCGTTAATGAGTCTGACCACCTGCTACGCATTCAGAAAAGTGTTTCAGGGTGCCCAAAACAAATATCGCCACAGTGCAAACTGTCAAGAAAACTTGGGTTACTGATCGTTAGAACACTCAAATTGGATGCTGGCCAACAAACCTGCACCATGAGTGCTGGGTTTTCCAATCAAGTGGGGCAGTTCAAGTGATATAAACTTCCCAAAGATCCCTGTTTTGGAGGTTGGAGGGTCGAGCCTTCACACTTAAAACCCAACAGCAAGCTCTGCCTGATGATTTTCCCAAGCAA